TATATCAGATAATGCTATTTCTTTGTGTAAAACCCTTTAACGGTATCCCACAGTACTTAGAAGAAAATCTAAACTCCTTATCATGGCTTATAAGTACCTATATGATCAAGCCTCTCTCTCTGATCTTACCTTGAATACCCTCTCTCTTAACCAGGCTTAACATACATTCATTCATTCATTTAGCAAACATGTCTTATGCACCTAATTTGTGCCAGATACCTAGTTAGACACTGGGTGACACAAAGATGGTATCTGTCTTTGAAAAGCTCACAGTTTAGTGAGAGATACAAACATATGAACAAATAAAACACTTTTTCAGAGTAAAATATTTTGCAGAGTTAAGAGCAATGTGGGGCCGGGCACGGTGGCTCATGCCTGTAATCCTAGCACTCTGGGAAGATAAGGTAGGAGGATTGCTTGAGATCAGTTCGAGACCAGCCTAAGCAAGAGCAAGACCCCGTCTCTACAAAAAATAGAAAAATTAGCCAGGCACAGTGGTGTATGCCTGTAATCCCAGCTGCTCGGGAGGCTGAGGCAGGAGGCTTGCTTAAGCCCAGGAGTTTGAGGTTTGTGAGCTACGCTAACGCCATGGCATTCACTCTAGCCAGGGCAACAGAGCGAGACTCTGTCTCAAAAAAAAAAAAAAAAAAAAATAGATGGCCAAAACACAGTATCCCAAACATCCTAATCCTACCCTTGGGATTAGTCTGCAGTGAAATTAAATTATTAACAGACTAACATCAAGAAAACCCAAATTCTACCCTAGACCAGTTACTCCTCCCTTTGATATCACCAAGGGTCATATGTGCACAGAGAATGGACCCCACCGTGGAACACCAGGGAGCCAGAATGGACCACTAGAGGGCCTTTTGCCTAGGCCTAAGCAGGCCTACTCTGTCTACTTATCCCCCCAAACTGAAACCCAAATAGCAGATCTGACCATTCCAGGAAGAAAGATCAATCTAGGAAACAACCACCAGCAAGCAGTGTTAGAGGAGAAGTGATTTTGCCTGATAATAGGGTTCAAATGTTTAGCCTACTTCAGATACATCCACCAAAGATTCTAAAACCTAACTCAGTAATGCATCTCAGTACAGCACTTTAAAAAAATACCAATAGTTAGCAATCATTCAAATCCATCAGCTTCATGAAAAGGTTGGCCTCTTTTTTTTCCCCAAAGAATAAATTTTGCTCTCTTCCTCGTTTGTTGTTGTTGTTTGTGTTTTCTGGGTTTTCTTTTTGTTGTTGTTGTTATTGTCTTGTTTTTTTTTGAGACAGGGTCTTGCTGTGTTGCCTGGGTTAGAGTGTAGTAGTGTCATCATAGCTCCCTGCAACCTCAAATTCCTAGGCTCAAGTGATCCTCCTGCCTCAGCCTCCCGAGCCCACGCCACCACATGTGGCTAATTTTTTTATTTTTTTGTAGAGATGGGGTCTCACTGTTGCCCATGCTGGTCTAACTCCTAGCCTCAAGCAATCCTCCTCTCCTGCCTTGGCTACAGATTAGGATTACATGTGTGAGCCGCCCCACCCAACTTCGCTTGTTTGTGTTTTAAAGGTGTTATTATTTTGTTAATACAATAACAAAAAGCAGATAAAAAGTAGTTCTGACGATAACACTAAATACTGTCTGGATAATGCAAGTGTTAAATATCGTTTATTTTATCAGAACACTACATGAAACTACCTACTTCTAGCCCCAGATACCTTTTGTTTATCTCCATACTAGAACCAGGTAGGAGTATCATGGTCTCATGCTCTGGATTCCTACACATTTTAGAATTGACAACACATGTCAAAAGACAAAATTAGCTTTGTTTGATGAATATTCAGTTTTGGACTGTGTTTCGGCACTTCATCTTTATCCAACCTTTGTGCCAAATGCTTGTGATTGTCAAAAAGAATACATTTTCATCACATGTAACAATATGGTATACAAATGGTTCGCCTTTATGTCATGACAGCAAAGAAAGGTAAGCTTCGAGATGATTTCTCTTCTGACGCTTGTTTAATTCATGCGGTACCCATCTATCCAGCTTCTTTACCTTGCTGATTTGTTTCAAATGGTCCAATATTGTTGGAATAGTAATGTCAAACCTTGCTGCTACAGCTTTCAGCTCATGATTATCCACCTTGATCTCAGGTCACCCACATGGCTCATTTTCAAGACTGAAATCACCAAAATGGATATTCTCAAACCATCGATGTACTGTGCATTCATTAGCCACATTCTTCCCAAACACTTCAATGATGTTTCTAGCTGTCTGCCCTGCATTGGTTCCATGACAGAACTCATATTAAAAACTAACAAGAACTTTTGACTTATCCATGGTTTCACAAAAATTGCCCTAAAAATTTTTTTGAAAGATAATCACAAGCCAAAATGTGCATTTGAAACAATGAGGATGTACCTTCACCATTGAAAAAAAAAAATAAGTGTCAAAGTGGGCCAGGCATCGTAGCTCACACCTGTAATCGTAGCACTCTGGGAGGCCGAGGCGGGAGGATTGCTTGAGCTCAGTTTGCTGAGCAGGAGACTGTCTCAACTAAAAATATAAAAATTAGCCCAGGCGTCACGGTATGTGCCTGTAGTCCCAGCTACTAGGGAGCCTGAGGCAGGAGGATCACTAGAGCCCAGGAGTTTGAGGTCGCTGTGAGCTAGGCTGACGCCACAGCACTCACTCTAGCCCGGGCAACAGAGTGAGACTCTGTCTC